TGCATTGTTAATAGTCGTGCCATATTTAAGTAAAATTTTTAGTCAAATCTATCGACGTTTAAAATTTTTCAAAATTTTTGGCGGACATATTGGATCAAAAATTAAGTACAGTCGTGTCTCCGTACCGTGCGATTCCATGCCGTGCGTTTTTCCATACCGTGCACCTTCTGACCACTGCCGTGATTTCATAGTGTGCAATGACGTCACCAACTTTCAGTGCCGTATTCCAAAGACCGATCGTAAAGCAAAAAATATAAATAATTATAAATTGGTATTTATTTGTTACAGTCGAATCTCCCATAAGTTAATTCTGGTGGGGGGTTAACTTATGAGAGAATTGCCGCGTAAGGAGAAATAGTTACGCAGTGACCTATTGCGCATGGCGGTCAATTTCAAAATATATGTTTGAAGTCTTGTGAAGTAAATGAGTTATTAGAAATGTTTGAATATTTAATTTAATATAAGTTTAGTTGACTGTGAAAAACATTGTCGGTACATACTTGTATTATTCTTTTAACTACTTTTATTAATTTTATAAATCATGGACGGAATTTTACTCATGATAAAATATTATTTGAGTTAATTAAAAATATTATTAAGGAATTAATATTTGTAAATGATGCAGCTACATCAGTGAAACAATTATTTAATAATTAAATTAAATTAAAAAAACAAAATTCAATTAAATTAAAATTCTTTTAAACATGAATCGAATGTTTTTATTCTAGGTAGTGGTTATGTTTATTTATGTGTCAGCCATCTTGGCACCACTATGCGCTCGTGTAATGACTAAAGTTTTTTTTAAGGAGCTTCTACTTTCTACAATAGCTCCGTTTGGCAACTCCAAGTCCAAGTCGGTTGGAGTTGGTTGCGCACGCATGGTGTTGCCAACTGTCGCCGAGTTGAAAATGAAAAAAAAAATTGTGCGTGATCTCGTGCTCACGAAATAGTTGAGGTTATGTACCTTTGAAGCTGTAAACACGCTGTAAAGTTTAATAAATTATTTGTTGTTGTTGCTGTTGATGTTTCCGCCGTCTCATCGTTTTTAGATAAGCAAAAAATATTGTAAGGTTATGTTCATGAAAATACCTTTTTAATATATTGTGAAATCAAAATGATGAAAAACTTTTATTATAATGTCAATAAAAAACATAACAAAAATTTTGTATTGACAGTTCATCTCATTTATTGTATATTTCTTTTTTACTATATTTATATATTACAAATATAAAATTCATTGCATGTGTGTAATATTCGGGGGAAAAAATTTTGTTGTTTATAAAAGAAAAATTTAATTTAATTTATATTTTTCTTCTCTTTGAAAAACGATGAGACGGCGGCAACATCAACAGCAACAACAACAAATAATTTATTAAACTTTACAGCGTATTTACAGCTTCAAAAGTACATAATCTCAACTATTTCGTGAGCACGAGATCACGCACAATTTTTTTTTTCATTTTCAACTCGGCGACAGTTGGCAACACCATGCGTGCGCAACCAACTCCAACCGACTTGGAGTTGGAGTTGACAAACGGAGCTATTGTAAAAGCTCCTTTACATTTGAACTTGCTTTGCAGTTGCTTTGCATCTGCTCTGCATTTGCTTGTTGCGCGCGCAACTTGTATTAGTTTAACAAGATATATTAACAATATTAACCTAACATTTTAAAATTTGTTATCTATATTCCTACGATTCATACTACAAATATTGGTTGTATTAAATTTTCGAATTATAACTACGTTTAGAAATATTGTAAATACTTATGTTATTCCTATTTTATAAATGTATGCAAATTTAAAACAAATTAAGTAATATTATATATAAACATAACCTTAAAATAATACTTCACATTTATATATACTTAATATTTAAAAAAAATCCAACATTTTTTTATTTACCACGAAATAATTACGATAAAATAATCATCCACTTTAAACCTATTTATAAATTTATAATAAGTTTAAATAAACAATTATAAATTCACTCAGACAATTGAAAAAGCGGAACGGAACGTGAAATGTTCAAATGTAAGGTATTGTGGAATCGCCTTGAAAATTCAATCCAGTCGATTGCTTGACCAAAATACTGGAGGTATAAAAGCACCTTAAGGCTCAATTCTCGTCAACTACCTAGTGAAAAATTAGTGACTTCATTGTTAAAATTGAAAGTTACTATAAAGTTACTAAATTTTCACTATATCAGGGTGCGGTAGTTAAAGAGATTTATCACAAATGTCGAGTGGGGACAATAGAAACCCACCCAGAGAGCACCCTTAATGGAGCGGTCACACCTCGGCTGCAGGAGCAGTTGCTCATGGCAACCGTGTAAGAGTAAGAGAGATAGAAGATTTTCCATCTCTCTTACTCTTACATGGTTGCCATTGGCAACTGCTCCTGCAGGCGATGTCCATAAGGCTGCAGTCCCATGGCAGCGTTTTGCGTTGCGTTTTGTCACTAGACCATGAGTGTAAAAGAGATGCAGATATATGTTTGCTATGTTTACACTCAGGGTCTAGTGACAAAACGCAACGCAAAACGCTGCCATGGGACTACCACTGAACTCTATATATCTGGAATGCTGTCTGCCATTGAAAGTCGCGAGCCGAGAGAGAGGTCTGATTCCTGTATTCCCCTCTTTGTCAGTACAGGTCCATTAGAAAATATTTAACAGTATGTATACGTGAACATGACATAACACTTTAAAGTAAACTTTTGGAACGTATTGTACTACGCCTGCGTAATTTAGCAAGAGAAGGAGATGTATACAGGAATCAGCCCTCTCTCTCGGTTCGCGACTTTCAATGGCAGACAGCATTCCAGATATATACTGCTTAATCGTAAAATTCAAACTTAAGGTGCTTTTATACCTCAAATTTCGATCGGATGAACATTATTTCTGGACCGTGAAAATGCGTGAAAAGTCATTTTCACGGCGGGTATTTTTGAATAGTTTTATACAAAAAATGTTTTTTTAAGAAATATAATATTAAATAATTGTTTTAATATGTAATAACACTTTAAAATAGTGATAGAGAGATGATTTGATTAAAAAATTTAGCAAATTTTGCTTTAAAACGTTTTCTGCTACAAGAAAGTGTAAAATGACGATGTTTGTGAAATGGTTGGTACAGTGCTTCTTCCTTGTTAGTGTCTCTCAGAGTTTTGTTTATGTTATGTCGGTTTTTTTTAACTTGTAATAAATAATGAGTGCTGAAAATAAATCGGTAAGTTGAAATGTTTATCAAATAAATTTAAATTCAACTAATTGTTTCGAATAACTGAAAGAAACATGTACACATGTACATTGTACAAACCATTTCACAAACATCGTCATTTTACACTTTCTTGTAGCAGAAACGTTTTAGAGCAAAATTTGCTAAATTTTTCAATCAAATCATCTTTTTATCACTATTTTAAAGTGTTCTTACATATTAAAACAATTATTTAGTATTATATTTCTTAAAAAAACATTTTTTGTTTAAAACAATTCAAAAATACCCGCCGTGAAAATGACTTTTCACGCATTTTCACGGTCCAGAAATAATGTTCATCTGATCGAAATTTGAGGTATATAAGCACCTTTATCTATTTCGTTGGGAGAAAAATCGAAAGCAAGTACAAATAAAATTTTCTGTACCTATGATACGGAAGAAACCATCATGCCAAAAAGATTGCTACTTTTGTAATACTTCTAAGTTTGAGTTTGTCCGATGAAAAGTGGTTTTTCCGATTAAAAAAAATCCAGAGGGTGCTGGATCAGTTCTGATTTTCTTTTTGTGTTACTCGAGCAAAAATACGTAGGTGTAAGGTTTTGTTTAAAAAAACATTTGTTATTTAATTTTTTTCTCCTACGTTTGAATTTGTCCAATTAAGGGTGGTTTTTTTCGATTTTAAAAAAAATCAGAGTGTGCTAGATTAGTTCTGGTTTTGTTTTTGAGTTAGTGGAGCAAAAATAAGGTGTAAGGTTCTGTTTATTAAACAAATTTGTTATTTAATTTTTTTATCTCATAAGTTTTAATTTGTCTGATGAAGGGTGGGTTTTTCGATTTAAAAAAAATCCAGAATGTGCTGGATCAGTTAGGGCGTACTCACACCTTTTGGCTGCCTGCCTGACTGCAAGAGTTGTCATGGAAACGTGAAGGAGTAACAGAGATAGTAAATTCAAATTTGAATTTTCTCTCTCTGTTACTCCTACACGTTGCCATGACAACTCCTGAAGGCAGGCAGGCAGCCAAAAGGTGTGAGTGCGCCCTTATGGCTTTGTGTTTGAGATAGTGGAGCCAAAATACGTAGATGTAAGGTTCTGTTTGAAAAAAATCTGTTTTTTATTTTTTTTATCTCCTAAGTTTGAATTTGTCCGGTTAAGGGTGGTTTTTTTCGATTTAAAAAAAATCATAGGGTGATTCTCTCATAGGGTAGACTCTCTCTTATTTCATATTCATAAATTTTTTCTTTACGTTTTGAATTGATATAAGATAAAAAAAAGCAAGAAGAAATGAAATGAATAAAATGGAATTTGAAAAAGGAACAGAAGCAACGAAGACGGCCGTCGGGGGCGCTAGTTACCACAAAAAACACGTTCCTGTCACCTTTTTAAGGTTATGGTACCTCAATACACATCATACACATTATATTCACAATAGACCTTTTCATGCTGATCGTTCTGTCCTTATCCAGCGCATACAATGACGAATGAGTTGGAAGAGGACAGAATGATCAGCATGAAAAGGTCTATTAGATATTTTATAATAATTAATATTGCTTTAAAATATTCATGATTTGCTATTTTTCATTATTTTAATATTCATTTTGGGCAATAATAATAAATAATTTTTAATTTTAGTGTTATTCAAAAATTGCGCCAACTTTCCTGCAGGCAGGCAGGCAGTAGAGCTGTGACTGTATCCGGTATCCGACTTACGTAACCGAGCAGTTGTGCATAGGCCTAATAATGTGTTGAAGTGTATTATGCTTTGGCCCTAATTTAGTTTACTCATTCACTATCCTCTTGTCTGTTTTCATTGCTTTATATTCTTTTAAGAATGAAAGTATTATTTTATCATGTCACATTACTACATTAAAATTATATTACACAATAAACAATAGTTACTTCTGCCTGTAAAATAAAATCTTAGATGTGAACTAAATCGTTGTTCCTCTTTTGAAAGTTATCAGTTACATTGTGAAAAATAAATAGAATTTTCATTTCTTTCGTATAGGAGATGAACGCTAAAAATGAATATTATGAATCAAGTGTTGTTTTGTATAAGTAACCTCTTTCACGATGTGTTTGAAGTAAACAATCAGATATTTCATTAAATGTTTTTAACTAATGAATTTCTACAATGGAGGATAAAATAGCATTTGTACACTTGTCCATCGAACTGAAAGTTTTGAATATCACTTATACTTTGAATTCAACAATCGAAGATCTTTGTATTAAGGTAAATAAATACTACTTCATTTCATACTCCAAACACAAAGTTTCACTCGCTTAATGTAAATTACAATTTCCTGTCAAAAGGAAACGAGATAGACAAATATAACCTAAAATTTAACTGTCATTCTTTATTTACAAAATAGAGTAAAAATTGTTTTACATTTTCTCGCAAATTTTTTGTTTTTCCAGCTTCGCTTGGAAAAAATCTCATATTTCTAATAAAAATACAGATAAAGAAAAAAAATTAATAATTTAATAATTTTTTTTTCGTAAAAACTTTTTATGACATTGGAAAGTACATGAAAAATGCTTCAAAAAACACTAGTTGAAAATAAATTAAGGGGTTATACCTAGTCAGGCGATCGGAAAAATGCAGTTTGTTGGGATTTTTTTTTGGAAAGGAATATTTATTTCTTAAAATGAAAGTTTTTCTAGTGTATTTTTTTTTAGTGTATTTAAAAAAATATTTTATTCATAAAAATATTAATTTTTCTACACATCGCATGTGATCTCCCAAGGGTTCTCAAAAAAAATAAAATAGATTCTGTTAGTCTATGAGAAAATGTTGTTGATTGAAGGAATTAAAAAAATATCACTTTTTCACAGAATGGCAGCTTCTTAAAAAAAATTTATTTTCATGAAAAAAAAATCGTCTTAAATTTTTGATTAAATTAATAATTTTAATTTTATTTAAAAAACCTTCGATTAATGACAACAAAATGTAGTTGTTGAGCTTGTGTTAAAATTTGAGCCAAATCGGTTCAGCGGTTTTTCAGATATTGTGGTCACTGACTTAAAAAACGAGTTTAAAGTTTTAGAAATATTTTACATTGAGTATGTAATAAATGTGTGATATAATAAGGCAAGGGGACGAATTCATACACTTATGTTAAAATTACACGCAACCGAGGGGGAATTTACTAGTACAAAAAGTGTAAATTTTACTCCTTATTACCATTATTACATATTATTAAATGTGAAATACATTATATGTGACCGTCCATGACAAAACAAGGCTTAGCTTCCAAAAGTAAATTTCACAGGGCAAGCAATTGAAGTAGAAGCAGAAACAAGGAACACGCTTGACATGCCCGTCTTTAGAACGTTATAGTGTCAAAAGTAATTGACATAAACAATTTCTGACTTTTGCATGTGAAAGAGCAACTTAAAATCTATCGATTAGCATCAAAAACTCAAAATTGATTTTTTGGGAGCTAAGCCTTGTTTTGTCGTAGACGGTCACATATTACAAAAATAGTGTATTGCACTTTATTAAAGATATCTTACTGAGATTAAACTTTATTGCTATCTAAATTTGAATAAGTAAAAAATATATAATTACTACACTGAAAAAAAAATTTATTTGGATCAAATAAAAAGTATTTGATCCAAATACATCATTTACTTGTCTATTATTCAATAAATATGTATTTGAACCAAATACACATTTACTAAACCTAAGTATATTATTTTATCGTATCAAATAAATAGTTATTTGAATCAAATACAAAGTATTCAAATCAAATAAATGGAATATTCAAAGCTAATAAATAACTATTTGAATCAATTATGAAAATTATTTCATTTAATACTGCATGTTTTTTGATTCAAATGAATATTTATTTGCATTAATAAAATATTTTTCTTGAAACAACTGAAAATTTTCTTAAATCAAATATTCGATTATTTATCATAAGTAATTGTTTTAATTGAAACTAAAACCTCTTTAATTGTGGCAATTATTATTTTATTTGATCCAAATACATAATTTATTTGCATAAAATGTGGGAATTTTTTGATTCAAATAAATCAAAATTTGAATTGAATAAATAACATATTTATTTACTAATTCTTCCATTTCTAAATTAAATTCTTACTCAAATAAATAAATTAAAAAATATGTAATTTCTACATACTATGATCGCATATTATCATTTTTCAACTAATTCATACATAGAATTAATTATTGAACGCAAACCTGAGAAATAAACAAATCTAACGCATGGGGGGAATCGAACCTACGACCTACGGACTATGAGCCCAACGTTTTACCAACTACGCTACGCACGCTACGTGGAAACGAATGTTAACTTCTTGATGTCATTTAAACTTGCAAAAGACCTAACTTAGAAAAGTGCTTAACATCATTGAGTTAAAATTAAGATATTAAATTATAATTAAATGCAATTAATTAAATTGCAATTAAATGCAATTTATAAAATATAATTAATTATATGCTTCATGATTATTATCATGAATCATCCCAGGTGAATTTTCAAAAAAAATGTAAATATATTTTTATTAAAAACGCGTTTTACGTTGTTCTGAATCATTGTAAACATTAATTTTTTGTTAATGAAAAAATATTTGAATTTTGGACTTAGAATATTAAATAATATATATAAATAAATGAATAGTATCAAGTAACTAATTATTCTCATTACACTTAAATATTTAATTGATCAAAATATTTTATTTTTCTTTAATAAAATAGTGTATTAACATTAAATAACGCATTATTTATATTAAATAATTTAGTTAATTAGAATCAATAACATAAATTTATAGTATCAAATACTCTTTATTTGTTTCAATAAAACGAAATATTTAAGTGAAATAAATAAATTAATTGTTTCAAGTAAATAATTATTATCGTTTCAAATAAATATTTAATTGATTGAAATATTTTTTTATTTATCTTGATAAAATAGTGTATTGGGATTAAATAGCGAATTATTTGTATTAAATAATTCAGTTTATTTGAATCAATTACATAAATTTATTGTGCCAAATACTTTTTATTTGTATCAAATAAACAAAATATTTGAGTGAAATAAATGAATGAATAGTTTCAAGTAACCCATTATTTGTATTAAATAAATTCATTTATTCAATTCAAATAATTATTTAATTGAACCAAATACGATTTATTCGGTTCCAATAAATGGAATTCAAATAATTTAAGTTATTTGAATCAAATACATATTTTTTTGATCCAAGTAAAAAGTATTTGAACCAATTAAATATTTTTCAAATAATTTGAAGTATTTGAATCAAATAAATTTTTTTTTCAGTGTAAAATCATGACTCAATTTTTACTTTATCAATTAGTGAAAAATGACTAATTAATAGTGAGAAATAACTGAAAAAGAGTCAAATTGTATTAATTTACTAGTTTATTTATTTATTATCATTATACAGCCTCACAAAAAAACTATCATGTGCGGCTGCTCCTCAATTTCACTTTTAAAGAATTATTTTTCTTAGTAACTTCAATAACTTCATAATTGTTATATGTATGAAATATTTTTTTTCCATAATTTCATTCTGATATAGTTTTCATATTTCTAATGATTATTTAATGTACTTTTTTATTAATCAAATATTTATTCCATCAATTTTTTATATAATAAAATTTTCCTTTATTACAATAGGCTATTTTTATAATGTGTTTTCAATGAAATTATTGTTTGCCATAATTAACTACTATATAATTGAATTCTCAAGCGTCATAATTTTTAAATGAACGAAGTATTATTAATCATAAAATTTATTTCACCTATATTTTATCTATCATCAAATTTATTTTATCTAAATATTATTTTGTAGGGGAGAGTCCCCTGTTATACAGCAGCCACGGTTGTGCAGCACTTGTCATTTTGTTCATGTTTCTTTATCTATTGATATGTAACTTATGTCAACTTTTGGTCAAGTTATAAGGATGTTTTTGAGCAAAAACCGATTCGCCAAATATTATTTAACCTTTTGTGAGCACTATGTGAAAGAAACGCTGCAATGATTTTTCCCGTTTTGTAACAAACTGATTTTATAACTTGTTTATCAACCAAAACTAACGAGCTTGAAAAATATTTACTTGTAGATACTCAACATTAGTCCTATAATTTATGATGCAAAATGAATTTTTGTAAAATAATTGAATCGAAAAAAATTATGAAGTCATTTGAAAAATTGTCCCAGATTCAGTTGTGCAGCACCCCAAAAAATATTGTTTTTGTAGTTTTATTATAAAATATCGACTTTATTTTTATATTTAAGTAATTTAAAAAGCATCTGATTGAATGTTACCGATATTAAAGTAGTTTTGTATTTCACATTATTGTCACTGTTAAAGGTCTAAGCAGAATAGCTTCCCCAAAGTCGTTCACGAACGAAATACTTAGAAAATAAAATATATATAAAAATATTTATAAAATTTGTGAATGTTAAAGGCTCTTATAATAATTAAATAATAATATAAAAATTTATTTTTATATTTGTATTTCTTTATATTTTTAAAGTTTTTAGTAATTTTTGGAAGTGCTGCACAACCGGGGTAAAATTTTATTTGGTCCAAAAACACTACCTTCTGAAATTCTTTCATAATTCTTCTGTTTTAAAATAAAAAAAAATCTAGTTTCTTATGCAAAAATTAGGTATTTATACTAGCGTTAAGGGATAACACCACTCTAGAGGCAGAAAAAATAGACCTACCTGTCATAATGTTTTTTGGGAAAATGAAAAAAGGAATAGGATTCCCTTTTAGAGGGCTTATTAACAGCATATTGAAGTGTAAAAAAAATTTTTTACTTGAAGTTTTACTACAGAATGGCGGCGATAGATGCCATATATTAGATCGACTACTTTTTTTTCAGACCAAATCGGTAAATATGTGTAAATTTAGATACACGAATAAAAATAGAGGTAGTAATTAAATTTGTTTATGTTTTTCTTCATTTTTTCAAATTGTGGCCTGTAAAAATTCTTTGGGGTAATGGGAGAATTGTGTCAGCCAGCAGAGTTTTGTTACCTCGATATGGCATTTCTTATTTTTTTGAAAATTAAACAAGATTCATTTATAAAATTTTATATTGTTGCATATTTAATTGCTAAGAATCAATATTTGTGTTTTATTGTCTAAAATGTGTTATTATTGGATATTCTAATACTAAAGAAGCTGTAGGTCTTTTTTATGTCTTAAATTTTATTGGAATTTCAAGTGAGAGC